CTTTCTTTCTTTCTTTCTTTCTTTCTTTCTTTCTTTCTTTCTTTCTTTCTTTCTTCCCCTTGAGTCAGTACTGACGCCTGGTGACTGCTTGCACAAGTCCCTGCAGTTTTCCTGGCAAGATTTTCAGAAGTGATTTGCCATTGTGGGGGTAAAAAAAAGTCAAGTCGGGGGCCATAAGCCTACAATTGGAGCTCTGCTCCTTTTCCCCATGGCTGTAAAAGGGATTGGCTTTGAGTGCGTGGTTGTAGCTGCCATCTTGACATTTTTACCCCCCAGCCCATGGATGCCCGTAGAGTGATCTCCTTTTTAATGGTAACAGAATTGCAGTGGATGGCAAAAATGAATATTGGTGAGCCTGTTTGTTTGGTATCTTCTGAATCTTTGGAAAGCTCACTGAATGGGGCTGTGATGGGGCAGGAGAGGAACTCAAGCGGCTTCTGTACTTTGTATACTATGAGTACTTGCATAATGTAAAGAGTAAGGAAGATGATCTTGATGGAGATAAGGGAGATCTGTTATCAAAGTGATGAGGGGAAACCCATCCCTCATGTCCACAACAGATAGATAATATTCAGAAGAGGTTCAGACAGACACCTCCCATATTTCCTGGAGGGTAAGAAGGAAGGGAACTCCAGCATAATCAGACTTGGAAGATACTATTGTTATAACCAATCTCAATAAAACTAGTTTTAGACTTTCTGTGGAGTTGATTCCATGGTCTGGTCTACCTGGTGGGGCTGATCCATACAGAGATGTTTAGATGAAAAGCATTCAGTACAGTATTACAGCAGAGGGTAGCACCTAGTTGACTCTGGCTGATCCCCCCAAAGTTAATCAGAGTTGGGGATTACCACGACATCCTAGCCTCCAGGCTACAGTAGGAAGTTAGGGGGTATCCCCCCCCCCAAAAAAGCAAGCAGTGACAAACAACTTCTATTTTGTGACCAAGAAGACTTACGGATGTGTCACCATCACTAAGAGCTGAGCTTGACTTGAGAATAACTTTTACTCCCTGCCTCCCCCTTCCCCCCCTCCCCCCCCAATAATCAGGGTTAGATTTTGGCTGCTTTGATGAATGAAGACTTCTGATGCTTTTTGCACGAGCTATTTAGTGGCATTTGTTTGGGGAACGTGGTTCCTGCATCAGCATTTCTGCAGAGCTGGCCAAGGGGCAGGTTTTGAAATCTGGAGCAGGAAACCCAGAGGCCAGTGATAACAAGAATAACTACAGGAGTAATATGTCTTGTGTCCCTCTGTCGTACAGGACTCATTGTTTACTTCGGAATGATGCTGGGGGCCCTTTCCTGGGGTGGCCTGGCGGACAAGCTGGGCCGGAAGCACTGCCTCCTCTTATCGCTCACCATCAATGCCATCTTTGCGTTCCTTTCCTCCTTTGTGCAGCAATATGGCTTCTTTCTCTTCTGCCGCCTGATCTCTGGTTTTGGGTAGGTACTGAATGCTCTGGGGGAGAACAAGCTTGCTCCAGGCCAAGGGAGACGTCTAATATTTGATAGTCTATTGGCTTCCTACACTTCTCATTCCTGAGCAAGTTCCTTTGAACAATTGAACACGTTGCAGTTTTACATGGGGAAAAAATAGAGACAGACATTGAACAGGCAAGTCATCTTACTGGGAAGGACCAGGTGAGGTCCTTATTATTATTATTATTGCTTCATTTCTCCTGTCCTTCCAGGCTCAGCACTAGCAATCATTTTGGTGGCGTTAATTCTCAAATTATTCTGCATCTGTGGTGTCATATCCTGGAATGCCCACACACTGGTTACTAAACCAGCCCAAAACTCAAAAAAGGACCAGAAACATGCTTTTCCTTTTTTTTTTTTTTAAAGAAATATTTGATTTTTTGGATGCTGAATTTCATAGACATATAGTTCCATCATAGAAAGGATTAAGAGTTATGCAGTTTGGCCCCCCTTCACAAAAGAGGAGCTTCCTCCTTGATGCCCTGAAAAAGCAGGAGGAAATTGACAAGTTTTGGTGCGAGAGATTGTCTATATATAGGCATCTCATTTAAAAGTATGTACTTGCTGGAATTCTTGTGTTATAACCTTAACCTTCCTTCTAATGAATTCTGTTGATCAGAATGCTTAAGTTGTTCCTTGGTTTAGATGTTTTCAATCTAGACTCATGTTTCTCAGCCTTGATGACTTTAAGACATGTGGACTTCAACTCCTAGAATTCCCCAGCCAGCCGTGCTAGCTGGGGAATTCTGGGAGTTGAAGTCCACACGTCTTGAAGTCGCCAAGGTGGAGAAACCCTGGTCTACACTGTAAGGAGGGAAGTCTGACACAGATTTACAAAGAGAAAAAAATTAAGGAACACAGACAGAACCTAGCTGACATCTCTATGTTATTATGAAACCTTTGCTACAGTCTCTAAGTTGTTTTATTCTTCCAGTTTCCTCCTTTTCTTTCTTCAGTATTGGAGGCTCCCTGCCCATCGTCTTTGCCTATTTCTCTGAATTCCTGTCCCGTGAGAAGCGAGGAGAACACCTCAGCTGGCTCTGCATGTTCTGGATGATTGGTGGTTTATACGCCTCGGTCATGGCCTGGAGCATCATCCCACATTATGGTAACTGCTTCCAGATCTAGAGGGCATTTTCCTGCATCCATGTCTGGCCTCCAGGCTGTTGCTTGCTTATTTCACTGAGATTGCCTTCTTCCAATCGCCTAGTGGGACCAGAAAACCAAACCAGGTTAATCA